GATATACAGTTGATTTTCATTGTTGCAGTTATAGTCTATACTGTACTCATGTTATGTTTTATAAAGCTGCCATATACACTGAATTAGTGAATACTGAACCATTGCCCCTAGGGAAAATACATGGTTAGTTTACTGCCAATGACTGGTCATAGCATTATATCAACTGATCAATAACCTTGTTTTATGTATGCTTCTCTGTAAAGACACCTTATTTAATATACTGTTGATTCAGTAACTTTGACCTCGTGGCCAATAACACTACAACTTCTGCCTGAGAGAAGCTTATCTAACACATTTTTTTTCTCCCTTAAGCACATCACAGCCTTCTTGCACTCAGGAGCACTAGAAGCACTTTGACACTACTCTTGGGCCCTTTTAAACTGTAGAATCACTGACAAAAGGCACAAAACTGTGAAAAATGTGCACTAAATAGATCATGAAAAGAATACTTACTTACAGTATGAGAGCTGAAACAAGAAGGCAGAACATTGCATTGTTTGACCTCATCTGGGAACTTGCACATGGAGCAACTCAAATTTTTTGCACTCGATGCCTACTAATGACTGCAAAAGTCCTGCGAGTATTGATTTTGGGCTTACAAATAGATTTTAGCAAGTAGGCAAATTCACAGATAATGAGGATTGACTATCATCTGAGGAAAATGATGATTGTTCTAAAATATCTTTAAAAGGAAATTGGTACTTTGGTTATGATGTTAATGTCTCTGTAAGAAATGAGAGCTTCTTATATTTTTCCCCATCATTCCGAAAGGGATAAGGCCAGAATCCCTATTCCTATGACCTACCTAATGTGTCAAATGTGTGCTATGAGAAGTCCTCAGTCTTGGTAAGGAATTTGGCTTGTTTGCTAGATGGTATTCCATGTGAGGATCCATGGACTCTCTATCAGGAATAAAAGTTATTGTGAGGAGAGAGGTAGAAAAGGAAAGAAGAAGATGGTTTCTAGGCACTATTGATTAAAAAACAATCTGTGAGTCTACTTAGATAGATTATGACTAAAGTAGTAAGATCAGAACCTCTCCAGTGATGGACTGATCCGGACTGCTTTTCCAGCTATTGTAAGGCATGACAGTAGGGCTCCACTCTTTTTTCCCCCCAATAAAGACTTTACTTCTACATATTTGTAATAGAGATGCCATCGTCTTTCTTAATTGCTTTGCCAGAAGGTTCTGCGAGTATTGTTACAGTTCATGGATGACCTCTGAGCTGCTGACTGCAGTAGATTGAGTCTTCAATCAGGAACAATAATAATGGTAGTGAGTACTCATGGAAAGCTTTTTATGCTCTAAATTCTGTTGTAAGCCCTTTACATTTTTGAAGGCATTTCAACCTTATAATAGGCCTTTGAGGTTAGAAATAGTATCATTCCCAGTTTTTGGATGAAAAAAATGAGGCATAGTTTAGGTAATTTGCTCCAGAAGACATGCATATAGTAAGTGACAGATTTAAGACTCAAACAAGGCCATCTGCTTACAGAGCTCATACTCATACTGTTCTTTCTCAAGGAAGAAGCAAACTTAGAAAATTTTTAAGTTCAAATTTCACTTGTCTAGATGCTAAGATTAACTTTTTTAAATTGAACTAAAAACTGTATAATCTATTATAAAATAAAACAAAAATGAGATGCAGTTACTGACAATATCTCACAGTGTAGATTTGGGTAGTTTGGGTTTATAAAGTGTTTATCCAACTTTAGTGTTGGATAATTAGTGTTCAGTAATCTGTATTACAGTAATACAGTAATACACTAATACAGTAATCTGTGTTAGTGTACAGTAATCTGTACCCGTATGATAATCCTCATGTGCAGCAAGTAGAACAGGGAGAGGATGTAAGGATCCATTTGTGAAGGTCTTCATATTACAGACAAGGAATATGGACAAAGGATTGGAGTGCCCAGTGAAATGGATAGTGAGAGACAGAAGTCTAGTGTCCTTGGGGAGGATGGCCAGGGAGGAGTGTGTTACTACAAGAACTCAAAGGCTACGGCCAGGGTGACTGGTAATCTAAGAAGGGCTGGATAGACACAAGGCCAGAGGAAATACTGAAGGAAAGCTGAGCCAGAGAGGAGTCAGAAGCCAGAGGGGCAGATAGATGTTGAGGTTAAATTACATGAGCAAGACAGGGAAGCCAGAAATGGCAGAAGTCAGCATAAGGAGCATTTCAAAAGGAAGGACTGAGAAGTCAATAGCAGGTCAAAAGTCAATGGTCAGTTTTGGACAACCTAAATCTTAAACAGGCAGGTGAATTGGAGCTGCAGAATGGTGGGCCCAGTGAACCCACAAGGGGTGTGGATAAGAGGCTGGTGTCAACCCGGATGGAGAGCTACCTGGTAGGACAGGAGGAAGGGCAGATGGGGCACAAGGATGGAAGCAGAGAAGCCAGAAAAATGTCCTTGACACATTTCTAGATAGAATCAGAGACCTGGGAAGAGGGTATTCCTTTGTTTGGGGAAAATAGATGGGTCCTCTGGTTACCCAGGAGTTCTATTTTATAATTTACATAGTTGCCTTATCTTTAACCAGAGCGATGTCTCCTAGAACTTAGTTGCTTTTGGGGGGAGGAAGGATGTTTCATGTTTCTTTCCTCTGTGTGCAGTTAAATAGCTATGCCTTATGCTGATACTTTTGCCCCGGGTAATGTATGATTTTGTGGGGAGAAGGGAGTAAGTGTTGAGAGTTCTGTGTAGGAACTTTGTATTTGAAAGGGAGAGTAGGAATGATCATTACTTTATGCTGGGGAGGAGATCAAAAAAAGCGTTTAAAAAGCTTTTGAATTCAACTTTGATTCATTCGTTCAGTGAATTGTGGTTGAGCTCACTTATCACATGGAGGATTCTGCTGTGGGAATTACTCTAGTGAGAAAGACAGATATGACCCCTGGACTCCTGGAAGCTACATTGAGTTGCTAAGTTAACTGAATAAAATTGTCTTCTTAATTTTTGGTGTCCTTTAAAACTGAAAACCTCAGAATGTACTGAAGTATAACTTCTAAGCTCTGCTGTAATTATGCCATGAATGATAGTAAGACTTTCTTTCTTTCTTAATTACATAAGACCACTCTCTTCTTCTGCAGGTAGAAGGTACTATTCTCCTGAAGGGACATTACTATTGCCAGTTATCTTGTAAAAAAAAAAAAAAAAAAAGTTTGTCCAAGAGTAGAAAATGAAAGGGAATTAGACCCTGGACCCTAGGGAAGGATAAACAGTTCTCTGGGGCCTCAAGTCTAGGTTCCAAGACCAAAGAGTCAAGAATACTTTCATTGGTGGGAATAAGTTGGTTTCTGTCCATGGAATCCGCTCTTGGATTAGTCAAGGAGACACCTGGATGGGCCTAGAACTGATGACGTTGAAAGGAACCATGGCTAGTAGGATTATAATTTACTTTGTTTGCTACATTTCAATGACTTTTCTATGCTCCTTTAGTAGAAAATTTGTCAAAAGTTGTCCTTTGGTCTCTGCTCTCTCTGTAGAGAATTAAGAGGATAATTGTGCATTTGGGATGCAGCTGTGAAGGCAGCATGGCAATGGGTACTATACTGGATTGAACAGTGCCCCCTTCCCCAAATTCATGCTATCTCCAGAAGCTCAGAATGTGACTTTATTTGGAAATAGGGCTATTGTCGATGTAATTAGTTAAGATGACCATACCCCATAATTCAGTATGACTGGTGTACTTAAGAGGCACAGCGACAGACATGGAAGAGAATATGTGGAAGACCGGGATGAGGCAGAGATCGGAGTGATGTGTTTATGAGCCATGGGGTACCAAGGATTGCCAACAACCACACCAGAAACTAGGAAGAGTCAAGGAAGGATTCTCTCTTTGAGCCTTCAGAGAAAGCATGGTCCTGCTGAGCCCTTGATTTCTGACTTCTAGTCTATAGAACTATGAGAGAATGACTTTCTGTTGTTGAAACCACCCAGTTTGTGATCCTTGATTATGGTAGCTACAGAAAACTACTACAGACTCTTATTCACATGTGCCTAGAACATACCATTAAAATGATAGAAAGAGGACTATATTCCCTTCTTCTAAGAACCATAAGAGACTCTTAAAAAAGGGTTTATGCGATCTGAAGAGAAACTAGAGCACGAGAGAGAGACTCTTAAAAACTGAGAATAAACTAAGGGTTGATGGGGGTGGGAGGGAGGGTAAAGTGGGTGATGGGCATTGAGGAGGGCATCTGTTGGGATGAGCACTGGGTGTTGTATGAAAACAAATTTGACAACAAATTTCATATTAAAAAAAAAGATGTACATTTTACATTTCTGAAAAGGGGGTGGGAATTACAATTATAGCCTACATTTTTAATGTAATTGTTGCAGGAATAATCTTACCTCAAACAAGACAGGACCTTATTTTCCCCCCACAGTTCAGTTAATTTTTATTTTATTTCATTGATGTGGCACACACTTAAGATGTCCTCATTCCCTCACCCCCTAAGATTTATAGCTACATTTCAAAGTACATGTGTAGTAAGTACTACTGTGTGGAAGGAGGTAAAGCTGCATTTGTCTGGGCAGCATCTTTCCCTGCTGGGAATGTCCATCCTCCTCTCTAGGTATCAGTCCTTGGTCTCTGTGGGTCTGTTGAGATTCTCTGTTCCTTTGCTCCTGGCCTTCCAGGTCTATTGGTATTCTTTGGTAAGTGCAAACCATGCTAGGTTATAGAGATCTCTAGGGTGTTGTCTAAGGTCCTATTTCCTACATTAAGTAAACAGCTTCTCTCTTTTAGTGTTTGGGGATTGGATAGAATATTTTTTTAATCTCTACCTTTTTGCTGTCACCTCTCTTCCATGTGGTTATGAACACAGCCTGGTGGCTCTGAGTGTAAGGTAGGGAAGGGAAAAGTGGGGAAATATTGGTGGGAAATTATCAGTTAGCTTTCAAAAATGCTGTACATCTACATTTCTCTTCTAGAAAAATAATTACTAAAATTACCCCCCAAAAATCCTATAAAAGTCCTCTTTCTTTTCTAGGTGGCCCTCTCAAGCTCCTCCTACTCACCCACATCACCATGCTTTGCGTCTCCATCCAGAATGTGTTCTTCGAGGACAGTAACTCCCACAGGCAAAGCAGCATCTGGCTGTGTGGGTGATCTATTCTTCAGCCTCTCAAAGTTGTGTAGGTAAGTCTCGCTAAAGTTACTGCCTCCTCCATCTTGGGTTTGCTGCTTGTTCCCCCCATGATGTTCTCTGTCCTTCCAGGACAGTCCTACTATCTCCAGGTTTCTCAGGCACCTGCACTGGCACAACAGTCCACTTGGAATAAATCTCTGTTGGGCCTCACATAAATCAAATACTAAGTAGCTCATTGCTTAAGGCAGTAGGCAATGTGGGCTGGCTCCCATCCTGGAACTACAGGCACATTTTCTTTCACCTGAGAGTCCAGGAAAAGTCTCAGAGTCACTCATGTCTGGCTCAACGGAGAAGCTAGACTAAGGCAGCCAAGGTCTGTTCAGGTCCTGTGTGATGCCATTCATGGACCATCTCTGGTTTCTGACACCATATCTAAGTCCTCCCTAGCTTCTAGAGTAGTAGCTGTGAGTTCTCTTTGTGAGCGCAGTCTAACATGCAATATCTGTTTTTCCCTCAAGCAAAGAAAAATGAATGTTACAGGTGCCTTGAAGCTCTTAGAGATTTTGGAACTGTGCAATAATACCCTTCATGGGTTTGCTGACCATTGGATATGCGAAGTTAAGAAAGCTGTAGAAGAGAATCTCTCATGTCACAGAAAATAAGGAACTTGGACAGTTCAGGGTAATGGATGTGGGTGAGAAAGAAGATAGCCATTTTATCCTTGACTCAGATGGAAAGGGCTAACCACTTAAGGGGTAACTAACAGAAGAAACCAGGAAGGAGTCCAAACAGATTTACTAGCCATTAGGGCCAATGTATAGTTGTAGCTTCAGAATCCCATCCTTTTGAAACTTGACCACTCAAAGATTACTCCATAATTAATCAATTTATTTTCTTTGGGGGATCCCTTTTTAGATATCAGATACTTTCCCAAATGACAGCATATCTCCATTTGTACTAAGGGGACTAAGAAAAGGATTTATGTCCTTGCTTGAATCAATAAAAAAGTAGTCTTCTTTCATGGTTGGTGGGCGGGCATGGTGAAACATCAGGAATCAAAGATAGAGAGCTATGAGGATGGAGGGGGAAGTAGGGCTCCTCACATACCCACTTGCATACATTTCTCTTCATAAATCTCATTTTTGCTGAAGGATTAAATAATTGCGGGTTTGATTTTTAAGAGGCAAAAGAGTGTAATACTAAGAAGTTAGAGGTATTCTGGTCATGTCACATTTGGCCCAACTCCAGAGCAGAACCATCTACCTTATGTGACAATGTCTGGTTGGGGCAAGTCCTAGTGAACTGCTATGTGATCTTCCTACTTATTCAGGAGTGTGGGGCTTGCTTCACTTGATTTGTGGGCTTAACAGAAGGACACAGTCCAAGGACTGGCACTACCAGTCAAGAGAGCTTGGCATCCTTGGCTCTATTGGCTGCATTGCCTGCATCATCAGTGAATTATTTGAGTTTTAACTAGCATTGGTGTGCTCATTTGGGGTCTTACATACCAGATATCAATATTTCAAAATTATCTTTAAGAGGTTTTTTTCCATATACCAAATATTTGAGAGGAAACATTCATCTGAAATACTAAACATTTTAAACGGGGGAACAGATTTTTTTTTTTTTTTTTTTTGCATAATGGGAATGAAGAAACTAATCTTTTTGGAGAAAAGCACTTTCATTTTGAGTAAATGTGCATGAGTCCTATTTTGCTACTGATTGCACATTGGTAATTCTTGACTTGTACCATTTCTGACTTGTAATCTAAGTCTAAACTTAGATACTTTGGATTACTCAGATAGTGGATGTGACTGTGTCTCTGTAGGATGGTTATGGTATTTTGAGTATAGTGCTGGATTATTTTGATCATTCATGCTAATACATTCATTCAATGTATTGTGATGAGCTCTTTCTCATCCACACTCATGTTTCCCTATGTTCTGAAGAAAATTTATATCCCAAGCAATGCTTATAGGTATTTTTGTTGAGGGGGAAGGAGCATGAAGGGGACAGTTTATGGTCACCTTAAACTTGAGAAATTCTGGGTTAAACAAAAGTGAAGCAGGTGTCTTTGTTGAAAAACTTTTCTGAACTGTTCAATATGCTGTGTACATATTTTGAGTCTCTAGTTTTCCTCTCCTTTTTTTTGGTAGAATATCCTTTAATATTATTCAGGATCCTTTTTATGTCAGAGAGTTTGGGAAACACTAGTCAATTCTAGGGATACAATGAGATGCAATTGTTTAATCATGACCAGAGGGATTTTAGCCTCTCACCAGAAGGTTGTGAAAGTAAAGCCCCTGGAGCAACTGTTAGCTCCTTTTTTGGAAGGCCTGATGAGAAAGATGTCTCTTTATCTCAGATAGCATTATATAGACTTTTAGAGAAGGAAAACGAACCAGAGGACCTGTAACTCTGTGGCTTTGGAATGCTGTCTTTTAGAGCATTTTATTAATTAACATACCTTTGTCAGAAAATGTTAGACCGAATTTTAAAAAGTATCCTCACTATCTACTGTTGTACAACAATTTCCCCATATGTAGTTTGTTAAAACGACAAAGGTGTCACAGTCTCTGTGAGCTGGGAATTCAGGAATGACTTAGCCGGATTGTTCTGGCTAAGAGTCTCTTAGGAAGTTGTAGTCAGGATGTAGGCAGAGACTGCAGTCATCTTGAAGCCTGGCTGGGACTGGAAGGTGTGTTTCCAAGATGGATCACCTACATGTCTCTTGGCAGGTGACCTCAGTTCCTCACCACATGTATGTCTCCTTAGGCTGCTTGTGTGTGTTCATGACATGATGGCTAGCCTCGCTGAACATGAGTGATAGGGGGAGAGAGAGAGAGTGAAAAGGAAGCTGTGGTGCCTTTCAAGATCTTGTCTCTGAGGTTGTATACTGTCACTTGTGCTTTATTCACTTAGAAGTGAGTCACTAAGTCCAGCTCACACTCGAGGAGATTTAGGTTCCACCTCCTAGAAGGAAAAGAGTGAAAGAATTGTGGACATATGTTAAAGCTACCACAGGAGGTTTAAATAACAAGGACATGAGAAGAGGCAAAATAGGGCACTGCCTAGACTATTTAGTTCAGCACATCAATGCCATCATCAAGAATCCAAGTTGTTTCCATCTTCTGTTCTGCCATGCTTAATGACTTGGCTTTGTGTTCAGGTTAGTTCCCAACATAGTTGTGAAATGACTGCACAAATACCAGCTGTCCTGTCCACTCACAATATCCAGAAGAACAAATGGATTGCATCTTCTTGGTGTCATGATGTTTGCATAAGGGAACCTTTGTTGGGAGCTCTCCGTGGCTTTCTGTCTTGCTAGTGGGTCAGAACTACATCATATGCTCAAGACTAAACCAATCACAGACAAGAGGAGGGAGATGGCCACGAGTGTCTTAGGTAGACTTTTGTAGACTCAGGGTCAGGACATGTGCCCTGAGGTGGTGGACCCTGAAACAGATTAGAGTTCCCTTTACAAGGAAAGGCAGGAAATGACTACTAGGTTGACAATGAACAGGTAGATTGCCATGGATCTTGCACCTCCCTCCATAACAGTCTTCCAGTCACCATGCCATGCGTACAGGACAATGTCACCTCTTTTGTAGAATATAAAGGCTTGGGGATGCCTGGGTGGCTCAGTCGGTTGGGCGTCCAACTTCGGTTCAGGTCATGACCTCACAGTCCATGAGTTTGAGCCCCGCGTTGGGCTCTGTGCTGACAGCTCAGAGCCCGGAGCCTGCTTCAGATTCTGTGTCTCCCTCTCTCTCTGCTCCTCCCCTGCTCATGGTGTGTCTCTCTCTGTCTCAAAAATAAATAAAAAACATTTTAAAAAATTAAAAGAATATGAAGGCTTATACTTTAGACAGAAGATCAAATCTGGGGAACCCCGCAGTTGTTGTTTATATAAAACTCATTCTAGTTAAAAGGTCTAAAAAAATGAGAAAATATAATCTCAAAAAACATCTTTAATAATATTCAGTGTTGTTGGAAGAACAGGTTAGAGATGAAACTAAATTCACCACTCACAAGAGAACTATTATACCAGTGGGGGTAGGGGTAGGGCTACATTTCTTCTCATTTGGTGTTATTAACAGAGTAAAATTTGCCATTTGTCCTCATGGAAGCCTAACACTGAAAGCAAAGTCTTGAGCTGTGTATTAAATGGTCTAGTATTGAATTGGCTGTCTTATATGTTATTTCTCCTCAGTTTCAAACTTCTCAATGCTCTTGCTAAATTAGAGCCCTGCATAAGGCATTGCTCTTGCTTCTCTATGCTCCTGAGACCTGCAGAGCTATTCAGGTTTTCAGCATTGCTCACCCAAAGTGAATCTCTGCAGCATTTTGTCATGTCTCAGCTTCAATCCGTTTTAGTAATTTCATGGAGTTTTTACAACTGCTGGACAACTGCTTGAGACAAATTCAAGGGAACTGAAGGGAGAGAATAAAGCAAAAATATCTGCCCTTCTTAGGAGAAAGGCTAAACTTGCTTACTGCAGAGGAATTTGGCTAGGTGCTTTGCATTTAGTATGTTTTTCTTACTACTTCCCTTCCTTCCTTTCCTCATTCACTCATGTACTTATTTAGCTTTGAGTCTACCTAAGGATTTCAGTTTCTAATCACTCAAGGAGCAAGTGAATGACTGGGAGTAGAAAACATTGTTTGCCACACAGGAGTTACCATGACAAATGGAGTAGCATAGGAATTCCAGTACACAGAATTAATTCCCTAAGGATTTTGCCAGCCCTGAAATTGTGTAAAAGTTGCTGTACAGATTTCTTAGTTCCTATAGAATTCTGTCAGTCATGCACATGTTAAGAGAAAGAAAGATTAAAAAAAAAAACCAATTTGACAAAATCAGGGAATCGAGCTTAAAAGTGTCTAAATATTTGTGGCCAGCACAAGCTCCTTAGAGCATGTGGTGGGGAAAGGCCCTTGACCAGAGGCCAGACCTCTGTAGACGTGGGTTGCTGTTGTTGGCTTCTGAGGCCCTGAGGCTGACCACCAGGGTAGGTGGAGGACTAAGGACTTCTTGATTCCTCAACCCAT